CCTATTTACATGCAGTTGAGAAAGCCAAAACAATAATAGAAATAAAACAAGTAGTCAAAGCAAAACTTTGTTTTCAAACAACATAATAGGAAGAAGAGAATAAATCAGTTCCACAGAGTTATAACGACGAAGTCCACGTGTCTACTCAATTCTGAAAAACGAAAACAGTGGGTTAAAAATATAAAAACTAAAAGTATCGGGGCAAAAACGGAAGACTAATAAATTGATCACCCAGGGCTTCGGATGTGAATATAGTGTCACTCCCTCACTCCACAAACCCTAGCCCTCTTCTGTTCTGCCTTCCTCTCTCTCCGAAGATGGCTTCACGCAGACTCGTTTCGTCTCTGCTTCGATCTTCTATCCGCAGATCTCAATCCAAACCTTCAATTGCCGCATCTGCGTCCAGAATCTCTTCCACCAACCGCGCTTCGCCGCACGGATTCTTGCTCAACCGCATCGCGGAGTACGCCACCGCGTCTGCCGCTGCTGCCGCTCCTCCTTCTGCGCCTCCGCAGAAGAAGGAAGTTGGCGGTGGTGGGAAGATCACCGATGAGTTCACTGGGAAGGGCGCGATCGGACAGGTTTGCCAGGTAATTGGTGCCGTCGTTGATGTCAGATTTGACGAGGGTTTGCCTCCGATCCTGACTGCACTCGAGGTTCTGGATCACTCCTCCAGACTGGTGTTGGAAGTCGCTCAGCATTTGGGTGAGGGCGTTGTCCGAACCATTGCTATGGATGCCACTGAAGGAGTCGTTAGAGGGTGGCGCGTCCTCAACACCGGCTCCCCCATCACTGTAAACATCGAATCTTCATCGCTTGAATTCTTCAAAGTTGCTTCTCATTATTTCTGCTAACGTGTTTATTTTTGATTTAGTACCCGATTTGGGGATTCCGTGAAATCTTGAATTTTACTTATGCATATGGATTTGATTATCTGTTTTTTCATTAAGGTCGCGGGGTTATGCCCTGGATCTGGAAAGATACATACATTTCAAATTAATGATTTTGTTTGGGTAGATTATTTTTTCTAGATTGATTTGATGTTTTATCTTGGCATTATTTAGCAAGATAATGAATAGAAATCATGCTAACAAATATACTGCTTTTATTATTATACGTAAATCAATCTATGGTCATTGCACTTTTGATTTAGTTCAATTGGTACAATATCTCTTTGTAGGCTTGAGTTGTTTTTGTTGTGAAACTGTGTGGACATATGATGCTATGTTACTTTGTCTTCTAATGTACTTTATGGATTGCGTCTAGGTTCCTGTTGGTAGGGCTACCCTTGGCCGTATCATTAATGTCATTGGCGAGGCTATTGACCAGAAGGGTGACCTCAGTAAGAACCCATAAATCCTTTAATCTTTTATATCAATTAGCTGATTAGGAGATAAGGGCTTTCCCTGCAACTCCCATGAAATGTTTTTACTGATAGTAAACATTGCTAATTTCCTCAGCAACCGAGCATTATTTGCCTATTCATAGAGAAGCTCCTGCTTTTGTTGAGCAATCAACTGAGCAGCAGATTCTTGCTACTGGGATCAAGGTATTATCCTCGTTTGTTTTCTCCTTTTTCTCTTTCGTATTATTTTCTCTTCTCTTTGGATGTTTGGGTTACCTGTCTCCCTGTTTATATGCCCAGGTACTGATTTTTGCATGAATTTTTATTTACAGGTTGTTGACCTGCTTGCACCTTATCAAAGAGGAGGAAAGATTGGGCTGTTTGGTGGGGCTGGTGTAGGAAAAACTGTCCTTATTATGGAACTTATTAACAATGTTGCAAAAGCTCATGGTATGTGCTTTTAATTTATTCTTTTTAACTTTTTCTTTTATCTTTTTTATGCTGAATGCTGACTGATTGCATTGATTAGGTGGTTTCTCTGTGTTTGCTGGTGTTGGAGAACGAACCCGTGAGGGTAATGACTTGTATAGAGAAATGGTTGAGAGTGGTGTTATCAAGCTTGGTGAGAAGCAGGTGAGTTGAATTCTGTTCATGACACTTTCAGCTGTGTCTAATACTTTTATCTGATTATCTTACTAACTTTTCACGTATGGTTGCATCACTATATTAGAGTGAAAGCAAATGTGCTCTTGTGTACGGTCAAATGAATGAGCCCCCTGGTGCTCGTGCTCGTGTTGGTCTTACTGGGCTTACTGTGGCTGAGCACTTCCGTGATGCTGAAGGGCAAGATGTGCTTCTTTTTATAGACAACATTTTCCGTTTTACCCAAGTATGTCTTTTGGCCTGCTTGTTGAGTGTATCTTATATTTTCTTGGGTATACCTTGTGTTATAACTATTTGTTTTACATTATGATGTTTCATGTAGGCTAACTCAGAAGTGTCTGCTTTGCTTGGTCGAATCCCATCTGCTGTCGGTTACCAACCAACCTTGGCTACTGATCTTGGAGGTCTTCAAGAGCGTATTACAACAACCAAAAAGGGTTCAATCACCTCTGTCCAAGCTATCTATGTGCCAGCTGATGACTTGACAGATCCTGCTCCAGCAACAACCTTTGCTCATCTTGATGCTACAACTGTGTTGTCACGACAGGTTTGATTTCATTGCATTTTTTGAAGTAGCTTCTGCATAGAGGTTTTTGTTATCATCAACTAAATAGTTTGGTTTTGATGATATTGAATAGATCTCCGAGCTTGGTATCTATCCTGCTGTTGACCCCTTTACCAAAAGGAAAGAGTTTTTAATTATGTTTATGAATGTTTTTCTTGGATTTTGAAGAATCAGAAGGTATATATATATATATGTGAAAATAAGGTAGTTTAGATTAGAGGAAATATGATATTGAGGAAAAAATTATTAAAATTGATGAGTTATGTGATAAATATTAAAAACGAAATTATTAGATTGATAAAAAGATTAAAATTACTATTTTAATTTATATACAAAACAGACTTAAATCATTAATAATATAAATTATATTATAATGAAATGTGAATAATTATTTAAAGTAAAAATTTGATTAAATTTTTTACTAGGTTTATAATTTATTTCATGATATTTATTGAAAGTTTAATTTTAAATTAATTTTTTTTCTAAAAATTATTTATATTTTATCTAATAATACTTCCACATTTTTTATTTTTATTATTTAATTATTTTTATTAATTTAAATCTTTTAATATACTTTATATATAAGTCTATAATTTTGCATTCTTTTAATAGTTTTATTCATAATTCATTATTTTTAACATTTTTATCCTATCGTTTTTATCCTTTCTAAGTCAAATTATTTTAGAATGAGTATACAAGTATACGATTTGGTATGTAAAATAAACTAAATATTTAGTGAATATAGCATATCACTTTTTAATTTTGAATCTATATAAATATTTATAAAATTAGTTTTTAATAAAAAATATTTTTTATTATTAAAAACTAATTACTACACTTTTAAAATAATTAAAAGAATCAACTTTAAATAAGAAAAAAAATGTAGGAAACTTACAAAAACTTCCCAGAAGATCACCCATCTTAAATTATTCTAGGCACGCGCACACTTAACCATGAAGTTCTTATGGGTTAGGCTACCGAAAAACAAATGCATTTGCTAAATTTTTAATTTAAAAGTATTATTTTAGTTTCGTACCTTTAAAAAAGTTAAAATTTTACATTATTTATAAATAATTTATTTTAAAAATGATTTTAAAAACAAGGTTGGAGAAATTTTGGCCTATTTACATGCAGTTGAGAAAGCCAAAACAATAATAGAAATAAAACAAGTAGTCAAAGCAAAACTTTGTTTTCAAACAACATAATAGGAAGAAGAGAATAAATCAGTTCCACAGAGTTATAACGACGAAGTCCACGTGTCTACTCAATTCTGAAAAACGAAAACAGTGGGTTAAAAATATAAAAACTAAAAGTATCGGGGCAAAAACGGAAGACTAATAAATTGATCACCCAGGGCTTCGGATGTGAATATAGTGTCACTCCCTCACTCCACAAACCCTAGCCCTCTTCTGTTCTGCCTTCCTCTCTCTCCGAAGATGGCTTCACGCAGACTCGTTTCGTCTCTGCTTCGATCTTCTCTCCGCAGATCTCAATCCAAACCTTCAATTGCCGCATCTGCGTCCAGAATCTCTTCCACCAACCGCGCTTCGCCGCACGGATTCTTGCTCAACCGCATCGCGGAGTACGCCACCGCGTCTGCCGCTGCTGCCGCTCCTCCTTCTGCGCCTCCGCAGAAGAAGGAAGTTGGCGGTGGTGGGAAGATCACCGATGAGTTCACTGGGAAGGGCGCGATCGGACAGGTTTGCCAGGTAATTGGTGCCGTCGTTGATGTCAGATTTGACGAGGGTTTGCCTCCGATCCTGACTGCCCTCGAGGTTCTGGATCACTCCTCCAGACTGGTGTTGGAAGTCGCTCAGCATTTGGGTGAGGGCGTTGTCCGAACCATTGCTATGGATGCCACTGAAGGAGTCGTTAGAGGGTGGCGCGTCCTCAACACCGGCTCCCCCATCACTGTAAACATCGAATCTTCATCGCTTGAATTCTTCAAAGTTGCTTCTCATTATTTCTGCTAACGTGTTTATTTTTGATTTAGTACCCGATTTGGGGATTCCGTGAAATCTTGAATTTTACTTATGCATATGGATTTGATTATCTGTTTTTTCATTAAGGTCGCGGGGTTATGCCCTGGATCTGGAAAGATACATACATTTCAAATTAATGATTTTGTTTGGGTAGATTATTTTTTCTAGATTGATTTGATGTTTTATCTTGGCATTATTTAGCAAGATAATGAATAGAAATCATGCTAACAAATATACTGCTTTTATTATTATACGTAAATCAATCTATGGTCATTGCACTTTTGATTTAGTTCAATTGGTACAGTATCTCTTTGTAGGCTTGAGTTGTTTTTGTTGTGAAACTGTGTGGACATATGATGCTATGTTACTTTGTCTTCTAATGTACTTTATGGATTGCGTCTAGGTTCCTGTTGGTAGGGCTACCCTTGGCCGTATCATTAATGTCATTGGCGAGGCTATTGACCAGAAGGGTGACCTCAGTAAGAACCCATAAATCCTTTAATCTTTTATATCAATTAGCTGATTAGGAGATAAGGGCTTTCCCTGCAACTCCCATGAAATGTTTTTACTGATAGTAAACATTGCTAATTTCCTCAGCAACCGAGCATTATTTGCCTATTCATAGAGAAGCTCCTGCTTTTGTTGAGCAATCAACTGAGCAGCAGATTCTTGCTACTGGGATCAAGGTATTATCCTCGTTTGTTTTCTCCTTTTTCTCTTTCGTATTATTTTCTCTTCTCTTTGGATGTTTGGGTTACCTGTCTCCCTGTTTATATGCCCAGGTACTGATTTTTGCATGAATTTTTATTTACAGGTTGTTGACCTGCTTGCACCTTATCAAAGAGGAGGAAAGATTGGGCTGTTTGGTGGGGCTGGTGTAGGAAAAACTGTCCTTATTATGGAACTTATTAACAATGTTGCAAAAGCTCATGGTATGTGCTTTTAATTTATTCTTTTTAACTTTTTCTTTTATCTTTTTTATGCTGAATGCTGACTGATTGCATTGATTAGGTGGTTTCTCTGTGTTTGCTGGTGTTGGAGAACGAACCCGTGAGGGTAATGACTTGTATAGAGAAATGGTTGAGAGTGGTGTTATCAAGCTTGGTGAGAAGCAGGTGAGTTGAATTCTGTTCATGACACTTTCAGCTGTGTCTAATACTTTTATCTGATTATCTTACTAACTTTTCACGTATGGTTGCATCACTATATTAGAGTGAAAGCAAATGTGCTCTTGTGTACGGTCAAATGAATGAGCCCCCTGGTGCTCGTGCTCGTGTTGGTCTTACTGGGCTTACTGTGGCTGAGCACTTCCGTGATGCTGAAGGGCAAGATGTGCTTCTTTTTATAGACAACATTTTCCGTTTTACCCAAGTATGTCTTTTGGCCTGCTTGTTGAGTGTATCTTATATTTTCTTGGGTATACCTTGTGTTATAACTATTTATTTTACATTATGATGTTTCATGTAGGCTAACTCAGAAGTGTCTGCTTTGCTTGGTCGAATCCCATCTGCTGTCGGTTACCAACCAACCTTGGCTACTGATCTTGGAGGTCTTCAAGAGCGTATTACAACAACCAAAAAGGGTTCAATCACCTCTGTCCAAGCTATCTATGTGCCAGCTGATGACTTGACAGATCCTGCTCCAGCAACAACCTTTGCTCATCTTGATGCTACAACTGTGTTGTCACGACAGGTTTGATTTCATTGCATTTTTTGAAGTAGCTTCTGCATAGAGGTTTTTGTTATCATCAACTAAATAGTTTGGTTTTGATGATATTGAATAGATCTCCGAGCTTGGTATCTATCCTGCTGTTGACCCCTTGGATTCTACATCTCGTATGCTGTCACCCCTTATTTTGGGTACGGAACACTATGAAACTGCTCGTGGTGTACAGAAGGTTCTTCAGAACTACAAGAATCTTCAAGATATCATTGCTATTTTGGGAATGGACGAGCTTAGTGAAGATGATAAATTGACTGTTGCCCGTGCTCGCAAGATTCAGCGATTCTTAAGCCAGCCTTTCCATGTTGCTGAAGTCTTCACTGGTGCTCCAGGAAAATATGTTGAATTGAAGGAGAACATTAGCAGCTTCCAGGTATTATTTTCTCATTTAATCTGAGGCTTTGATCATATTCTCTCTGATATTATTTGTGTTTATATGTGTATTGCATCTTTTGGATCGTGTTAGCACCCTTTTATTTGTTTCTTGAATATCTGTATGCTGGAAGGTAATTTGAATTCTAATATTTAGTTTCTTCTGAATCTTGAATTGTCGTGCAATGAGCTATATGATCTAAACGCTTATCGTCACTTGAGCTGTTTGCATTCCATTTTTCTATTATTTAGGTTAGGACTTTTGTTTTTAATAGCTGTGGCTTTGTTGCGTACCTGTACTGTTCCGTTTGACTTTTGCTTGCACAGCATGATTGGTTATGCCCTTGTCTTGTTTTTGTTTGTATTCTTGTTGCAGTGATTAACACTGCAGTTGTCACTTGTGTGGTTGGTTATTGATTCCTTTCTTATTCTGTATGACAGGGTGTGTTGGATGGCAAGTACGATGACCTCCCAGAGCAATCCTTTTACATGGTTGGTGGCATTGAAGAGGTCATTGCCAAGGCCGAGAAAATTGCTAAGGAGTCTGCCGCATCTTAATCACATACACAGCCCTGCTATCATTTTAGTCCTTTTTTTTGTAATTGCTAAATTTAATAATTTAGGAACTATTGGCAATGCCAAACGACAAAATTTTCCATTTTTTGGGTATGAAAATGTGCCAGGTTATTTCCTTCATTTTAATGCTGCCACTGTGAGATGAACTAAGGTCCTGGGTCTGTGGCCAACTGCCCCCCTTCTTTTTAAGTTGTGTTATTTAATAAGGGGAAAGGGCAAGAGGATGTATATTTTTACTTTCTGGTTGAGAACGATGGATGCATCAATGTTAAAACTTTGCAACTGTTCCATCTGGTACTCACGCAGCTAAATGGGTGAATGTTTTATTTTTTGTTGATAGTACATGAATTTTTTTCAAAACCAATTTCATAATTGTTTCTCTTGATTTTTAACATCGTTTAACTCCAAATTGTTTTCAAATATAATAAGACAAGAATGTCTTATCCTCACAAAATTCATATTAAGATACTTATTCCTGTCATTTTATTAATTCATAATCAAGTGGAGTTTTGACTGGTTTTTTAGATGCTGTCAAGAAATTAGATATGTATGACCTAATCTGGTATTTGAATATATTATTTATAAAATCTTAATTAAGAACTATAGCTGTGACTAATACTATAGAAAGGTATAAAATGATTGAATTCTTTCAAGGGAGAAATTTATACCATTACATTATCATGCATTGATGATGAATATTATGTATGATTTCCTTTCCTTAGATATTTATCTATAACTTATAAAGTGTTATAATTAATTTAGTTGTTTTAATATTTGTGATTTTTTTCTTATGCTAGGGGTTTAAATTGTATATTTTATATAATATGAAAGTAAACCAATTTAATTCCGAAACAATTTATTTAATTATAAGAAACGTAGTGTCGTAATGCAATTTATATAATCTACTTATAATTATTGTTTCTCATACATATATATATTTTTCTGTATTTTTTTAAATACATTTGTTGTGCTTTTTTACTTTCTTTTTCAGCTTTATTTTTATTTAAATTAGGGTAGAACACTTTCTATGGTTAACTAGTTTGAATTGAATCCGTGCATACACACCTATGCGTTTTTATTTTTTAGTTATTACTTTAGAATATATATATATATATATATATATATATATATATATATATATATGATAAATATGATAAATATGATAAATGAATTTAGCTATATTTAACATGTTTGGAAGAAAAACTATTGCAAAATGTAATATTAATATTTGTTTTTGTATATTATTGTTATTGTTATATTTTGATGCTAAGGAATGATAAAAGTGGAAATTATACGATCCCATATTTTTATGATAATACAAATAACTATTTTTATTATAATACAAAATAAATTATTTGTAAAATAAATAATTTTATAATTTTATTATAGGAGTTAATTAAATTTTAAAAAATAATTATAAATTTAAAAGATAAAATAAAAAAACAATTTATATTAATAAAGATAAAAATATTAAGAAAATGTATATGTCAAAAAACTATAAAGCGATTATAAAACCAATTCTTTTTATTAATATATATAGATATTTGAATTTATTAATATTATTAAAATAGGACTAAAGAGTTATTTGTTCAATTTACCAACTTATTTTATTAGTTTAACGTCAATACATATTTACTCTCTTCTTTCCTTATCCTCTCTATGTTTCCTTCTCATTTTTTTTCTATCTATTAAAAACCTTTCTCCTATTTCCTAATTTGTAAGTTTAGACTCTTACAAATTGTTTCACATAGACTATTTTTTGAGATTGTAAAGTTCAACTACACAAAACAGTTAATCTAACATGTAAATAGTAATTTCTATTAGCAAAGGTTCTTGTTGCATTATTCTACTCTTGTTGCATAAAGGATATACAATTTAATTGAATTTGGAGATACAATATATACGATCGTATCATGTTAAAAGATGTATGTTAGAAGTATAAGTAATATATAGTTTTTTTAAATTGATAAAATAGATATTATGTAAAAGGATTTTTTATTTTACTGTTTTTAAAACACATGGACAATGTGTGTAGGGTTAAGTTGAAAATTAAATACAACAAGAAAAAATTTAAAAGATGTCAGTATAATTTATTATAAAATTAAAATCTTGGAACAATGTTACGTTAACTCGGTATTAATATTCAGTCAAGACACAAAGAAAAGATCAGAAAATTCCTGGCAGCGTCTTGATATCTCACCATAACCTTTAGTTGCTTTCTTGCTTTCAATGGTGCACACTGCAGAATGTGGAACGTTAGTAACATTCATTCACTAAGGTTCATTTCGGAAAATCTTACTTCAAATCTTGTTTAAATGATTTGTCATTTCACACCTTTTCCAGGTCTGGTCGGGTTAAAGGCCGACGATCAAGATCAGGTTCATGGAAACGCCGTTCCAGGTGTAGCTTTGCAGAAACTAACTTCTTATCTCATGAATCTGTTATCGTACATTAGATATGCACAAGCATGAAAGATAAGAGTTATAATATGATAACATAGCATGTCAAATCCAAACACGTTCTTTACAGTGATGGTAGGTTTGTTCCTTCTATAGGAGTCAAGATTCTCCTGACTGGAGGAATCCTGGAAATAATTTGTTTGTTAATTTCCTGCCCTGGTGGACAACTGAGAGTGATCTTCAGCAGCTTTTCAGTACACAGGGAGAGGTATGTATGAATTTACTATATGTTAGTCATGATTTCAATTTCATTCCTTTATGATTTGATGATGTGTATAGCATTCAGTCTTCTCACAGCATGCATTCTATTGCAGAGGCTTTATAAAAAAAAAGAAAAAAGAAGAAGAAAAGTAATCAAAATTAGCTCATCCATAATTTAAAATCAATTTTTTTAATTAACTTCACAATTTTAGCTTATTAGGAAAGTAGATTACAACTTATACATACATACATACATACATATATACATATATATATATATATATATATATATATATATATAT